ATATAATTAGAGTCTGTGAGTATCAGAAAGGTGGTACCCCTTCCATACAACAAAAGGAGTAAACTTGAAAAGTAACTCTTGGCGACTCTTCATTCATTGCAGCACCTGGGTATTCTTTTTTAAACTACTGCCAAGTGCTAATAGACATGCTATTTAGGGTACACAACATGATTAAAAGTCCTTTTGGGATATACTTTCAAAATATGTTTACCTTTGCATTTGAAGAATTATTATATTTATTTACCTAAACTTTAAACTTTTTCTTGAAAACTGAATAAGAATGATGATGATGATGATGGTGAAATAATGCAAAAAGATGTCATGTAGGATGCAGGACATCAATAACTAGGTATTGTGCGCAAACATCACTAGGATAGTTCCTGCCCTAGAAATGACAAAAGACCTATTGGCATCAATACGACTAATGATATGCCTCAGGGATTCAGCACTAAGGTTCACTTGCACAGCAGTAATCTTGACAAATAATGAGCCTTTTTATAGCACAATCATTTTTAATACCTATTTCTATACATACCAGGAAAGCGAGGGCAGCAAGCATAACTTGTCTGTTGCCATATGCTAGAAAATAGAATAAAATAAAATTAAGATAAATTTTAATCTGTGCAAAACTTTGCATAATTTACCCTGGTACAGAAGGTCAGAACCATGTATACTCCACTTATGAAAAAGGAGAACTATACTACGTGTTATATATACAGAGCAACTACTAAATGTTTTCTGGTAAATTACAGTACTCTTTGATGATAGTTAAATAAAACCATTAACTAGCTCTGATATAGTGTTTTCATTTGTAGATATTAAAGTACAGCCTGTCTATTTTTAAGCAACAGAACATCAGAGAATACCATTATCTGCCACTCAGCCTGACCACTTCATTAACCTCCCCTCTGCTTCACTTCTTTTCCAAGACATCACTATAGTACAGCACAGTAAAAGCTCTGTTATCCAGCATCCCCCCGGGAATGGGGGATGCTGATTAATCAAATATTCCTGTTAATCAAATGTGCACTGTCTGGTGCACTCCCCAGTGTCAGTGTGCTGGGGAACAGGGAAGGGGACCCTGCACAGGCTGCTTTGCCCCATGCAGGCTGCTTTGCCTTGGGCCATGTACCAAAAAATGGGCAAAGAAAAACTCAGCTCACACTGGCAAAACAGGAAGTCCCCCAGAAGTGGCACTTCTGGTTTCGCTTTTGCAGCGTCCCTTGGATGCTGGTTAATAGAGTTTTCCAGCTAATAAAGTGCCGGTTAACACAGCTTTTGCTGTACCATGGACATCTAAGAGGGTCCCAGTACTCCCACAGCTTTCCCCTTCATTGTTTCATATCTTCTTTTCCTATCCTGCCTGTGTTCCCAAAATCATGTCTTTTTGCTTCTCCTTTGTCTGAACAGCAGGATGCTACAGCATCTCCCCAGGGTGATCCACATAGCTGCAATTAGTGACCCTGTGGGCATGTCTACACAAGACACTTTACTGTGCAGTTGACTAAGTGACTGTGCAGTAAAGTGTCTGTCTACATATGTAAACACTTACTGGACAGTCAATTACTTAACCGCAGAGTTAATTTGCAACCTGCAAATTAACCATGCAGTAGTGACTGCAGTAGTCCACATATAGACGACAGACCAGGAGAAAATCTGTTCCCAGTCAGCCCAGGCACCAGGAAAACAATCCCCTCCCCTGGGACCTACCTGCTGCTGCTGAGTCAGGCTCTGAGTGGGAGCCTGGGGTGGGACAATGTCCCCCTGCCCCAGCAGCAGGCAGCTCCTGGTCCCAGCTCTGCAGTCAGAGCTGTGTGGAGCCAGGGCCAGGAGCTGCCTGCTGCTGGGGCAGGGGAACACTGTTCTGGCCTGGGCTCCAAATTCAGAGGCCATCCCGGCAGCAGGCAGCTTCCTGGGGCAGGGAGCAATCTCTCAGCCCCAGATCCACCGCTCCAATCACAGAGCCAGGGACAGGATCTGCCTGCACCAGAAGAGTTCCTTGCCCACCCGGGAGCTGGCTGGAACCTGTCCCAGAACTGGGCAGGTTGCTCCCAGCCCCAGGCTCTGTGGGGAAGCCCTGCTGGGCACAAGGTTTTTCCCCATGTGCACGGGGTGGGATAGCTCTGCAGCAGCAGCTCTTCCACCTCATGCACATCAGAACCCCGCCTGATGCGTATCGGTCCAGGACAGCTGTCCCCTGGCCCCGTGCTCCCTGTCAGCCCCTGGCCTAGCATCCAGAGGGAGTATGAAGCTCTCCCTGACTGTTACAGGAGGATAGAGCAGCTTCTCCGGGCTGCTCTCTTGCAGATGAAATCTGCTCCAAGAAGGAGTATGTGTAGACATGCTCGCCTGGTTTGCCTACTGAGCAGTATTTTTACTGCACAGTAAACCTACTAAGAATTAATAACACGTGTAGGCATACCCTGTAGCTGTTAACCAAATGCCCTTGCCAACTCTGCTCAATGAGTTTATTTCTGCATGCTATTTTTCCAGTTACCTGTCTTCCTTGTCACAGCTGTGCCCCTGAAATCCTACAAGCCTCATTTCTCAGGCCTTTTATGGAGATGCTGTCCACTTCAAAGCTTAGAGGAAGAGACAAGATTTCTGGCCTCAGAATTTGATGGTCACATTCCATTTGGTGGGAAGAGCACCCCAGCAAATAGACAGTGTATTCAGGACCTACTGACTTAATGACTCAGACTTCTAAGGGCTGAACCTGGGTCTCATAAAGCAATTTAAATCATTGCTGCCTGTTTGCATACCACTTTAGTGAGATTTTGAGAAACAAATCAATGTTAATCAAAATTCATTGTTTAAAGTAAAAGGTGCATTTTGGGAAACTTTATTCTACCAAAAAAATCAACTTAGTTACAATGACTGGCAGCATAATTCCTGGATCCTCCCAAAACTCAGAGGAAAGGATTAACAAAGAGAAGAAATGACAAATGCAATGATAGTGTGCTAGCAAAATGAAATGGGGAAAGAAATATACAGCAACATAAAAGAAAGAATTTAGCAAAAATAAAGTGCCCAGTGACTGAAAAGATTTTTAAAAAATCTACAAATAAAGAATACTTTTGTAACCATGTTCCACAATAAGAAAAAACACAATCATGATCAAGGCTGAATGGGCAAAAGAGAAGAAAAAATGTCCATTTGCTTTATTTCTACATTTTTGTTGAAAATACCTAACCAATGTTATCAGTTTCACATAAAGTTTAGCTTTCATAAAAAGGATTTTTCTATATCATAGAAAAATGTTGTAATTAAAAAAAAAAATCAGCCAGCTCTAGTTCCCCTGTGCATTTTTAGTGGAAACATATTGCAGAGATTAGTATAATGCATTGATCTTTCTGTTTCCTTCAATTGGCTAATATTTCATATTTACAAAACTCTGTCATGATTAAATGGCATTAAACAGTGACATATGTTTGAAGATGTAGATGGATTGTGACACTTATATTAATCTTTCTCCTGACAAGTAAATGTAAGCCTAATCTTTGGGCATGCTAATGATCTGATTATGTGCCCACTAAAGTCAAGGTCTGAACTCCAACTGATTTGGAAGCAAGGTTAGACTAAAAAAGAAAATTAAGAACAATGTCAGTTTTATGTTGTATTTATACATACTTGGTGGAGTGTATCGTGGATGGTTGATGTAGTAAGCAATCCAAGAAGTGAATCCCCAGTAAAAGGCACACCCCTGGAATAGATAGGGATACATTTTAGGTAGAAAAATTGAAAGTCAGTACAAATTACAACTTCATATGCATTTTTCTAGTTGTGTTCTGAGACAGGATGACCACAGTGCTATTATTCAATGATTCATTGTTTAAAAAAAAAATAATATGAGTCTCTTAAAAATAAACTCATAGTTAAATCCAAAATAAGAATTAAATTAAAATGCTTAACAGAGAGTTAAATGAACCCTTTTATACTAGGTTCACCTACATATAGTTATATTCTTTGTTCATGAAAATCCAAAACCTAGATGAATGGCTTGAAATGTAAGATCTTTATTATTTGTTCCATGTGGATAGAAATTGGTTAATAATGGAGCATGTGGAACTGAAGGATACACACTTATGGTATTTGACTAAGACTTAGGAGACCTTGATTCTGGTTCTACCAATGTAATTTTATGTGGCTTAAGGCAGATCCCTCTCTCCCTACCTCTGTCTCCGCCACACCCTCTCCTCCATCATCCAGCCAGTTCTAAAATAAGGATAAAAGTCATTTTTTTTAATTTAGATTTTAAGCTTTTCAGGAAAAGAATCTCTTTTTTCAGGGCAAAGGTATATTTATCACTGGTACCATGCATGTATTCTATTCCTTGCATTGTAATAGCAAAACAACAAACACCATTCAGTCTGAAAAACATTATGGGGCACTGAAGGTCAGCTCCTCAGGTGGCATAAATCAAAAGTGACCCAGCTCAGTGGAAGCTATTGGATGCACCTCGGTCTACTTCACTGGAAGAGCTGGCCTTGGGTCTTTAAATGTATTTATATTGTGAACTGGACATAATTACCAGACCTAGCAAAGAAATCTTTTTCCTTTTTTATTTCTTCCAAGGTCCCTTTAACATGAAGAACTTCTCTCTATTACATAAAAATGATAAATATAATTGTCACCTTAATCATATTTTTCAGAGGAGTATGCCCTCCGGAAAACTTGTGAACAAATAACGTCTCCAGAAGAATTCTGATATAGTGTATACAGTGACAGAAGCAGGCCAAACTGGAATAAACAATGAGAAAAGAAAATAAGGAATATGAAATGTTGTTTTTTCTGTCTGCTTTTTGTTTCCAAACCATATTTTCTGATATATCACAGTTCATTGCTACAGAAAAAAATAAGGAGCAATATTTCTGAACTGGAGAATCAAGATGAAATCTCTGGCCTTAATCTTTGCCTTAGTTGAAACATCTAAATCCAGAGATTAATAGAATATTTTTTACAGTGTTTTATAAAGTCACATCCATTTATAGTGGAAGCAAATAACTTTTATTAGCCTTGAATTTAAAAAGGATTCATCAAGCTCAGTGTAGTACACAGCTTGATGGTACATTAAAAAAGTACAGCTGTGTGTACAGGCGAATGTCTACTACATTTTGCACAGATGTATCCCACCTCTTCAGGCTTTCTTAATGCTCTCGTAGGATGTATCTGACATTTGAGAACATTCTGAATAGCTTCTGAATGGTTTGCTTGTCCTTTAGTAACTACAGTAGCAACACAGAGGTAGTCTGTATTTCATTTCCTTGCAGAGTCAAAATGTGATTTTGTTGCAAAGTTAATCCATTGTGATGGCTTTTTTGTTCTGAGTTACAATGGAATGAGGTAATTGTTGTAGAATTTATTATACTGATTCTCTTTTGAAGACGATTATGAAACAATAACCAGTACTCCTGATTTGCTTCATAGAATGAGCTGCCGCTCATAAAGACTGGGTTTAAAAAACAAATGTCAAGTGTGATTCATGGTGGCATTTTATCTTGGTTATATTTACTGAACTAGCAGTGCCTCTCTCATCGAAAGCCAATTATGAGACATAAATGAAAAGTGATTTTCAGTGTGTAGAGTTTCAAATACTTTGGCTACCATACAAGATGCTCAATAAAAGTCAAAGATTAAACAATTTTGAAGTAATTAAATCAGAGAAATGGGGAGCTCAGAAAAATCAGCTAATTAATGGTTTTACACAAGGCTGAATAACACTTTCATTCTCATTAAGAATTTTAAAAAAAAATCTTTGGTTTCTAACCGGGATGCCAAAAAACTCCTTTAAAAAAAATCAGAAAGACTTCTCATATTTTATCCCCCAAATAATGCAGGGATATTTTCGGCTCCTCAGTTCTATTCAAAATATTATTTCCTATTAAATGTACAACTCAGGGTGGAAAGGTCGTCTCATGGCAGCAGAGTGGGAGCTGTGAAATTATTCTGGGGTCTTATTTACAGCTCTGCCAATGCATTCAAATTCTTTCTGCTGAAGTTTCCCCATCTGTGAAATGGCAGTAATAATATTTCATTTTATCCTCCTGTTTATATAAACTCCCCTGCTGGGCCCAACATGGGGAACACAAATGTAAAATTCAGAAGAAATTAAATTTGACTGGTTATTGAAAATTTCAGTCTCCTCTGTGTCTCTCAAAAATCTGCCTGATTCTTAGCCACTCTCTGTCTCTCACCCCATGACTACTTAGTTTCCTTCATGGCATTTTTGAAGAAGTTTTTCAAAGATTTAAGAAGTCCCAATAAATTATGACAGATTAGTTTTGTTTATATATTCTTGGTATTCTAATAGATTAAGGCACAATTTTCCTTTGTCAAGCTGTTTGCCCACTTTCACATCACAAACTTTTGAGCTTCATTATTTGTCATGCTGTCTCAGTCAGTTTATCACATTTGGACATAAACTTCATTAAGTTTCTGTAATTTCCAGATATTTTATTTAATATAGGTACATTTGCCTCTCAATAATCTTTTGATGTAGTGGCCTATTTTTAAAAGTGATTTAATGTATTTTGTTAGAAGGTCTGTAGCTTAATTCTTAAGGTCCTTCAGCACTCTTAGGCGGGTCCCATTTGGTTTTGGTGAATAGTCTCACTTTAAGGGAGTGGAATTTTCAAACGTATCTCTAAGATTTAAAAGCAGAAACTTAACTGCTGGACTCTGCTATTTTCTCCATTAGATGTTTCTGAAAATCTCCTCCTCCATTTATCATCAGTTCTTGAAAGTACTTCTTTGTCTTCTCAGCCTTTGACAACACCTTCTCTTTCTGAGTACATTTGAAGCTAGTATTGTCTGTATTGAAGACCAGTGCCATTAATCTCCTATTGTCCTTGTACTTCTATTAACCTGATCCAGAATTAATTTAGTATCTGGAAGGCACTCTGGTCTAGTGAACAGTTCCCAAGTTCTATTTACACTTTGATCTGTCACTGATATAAAGCATGACTTGGAGCAAGTCATTTCTAGTTTGCTTCTGTCTCTTATTTTCTATCCAGCTTGTATATTCAGATTTTAAATAATTCAATGTATGGAGTGCCTCCCATTATGTCTATGCCAGTGCCTAGTGCACTAGAACTCTAGTGTTAGATATGGTCTCTGGGTACTGCCATAATAGAAATCATTAAAAAAATAATACCCTGAAATTCTCATTGACTCCAGAGACCTTTGGGTATGGAAGGATTGTAGCATCAAAGGCTGTATCCCCATGAGCAGGGGCATGCAATTGTTGCAGGGAAATAAGCAGCAGCAAAAATGTGTGCTGCTGTTTTTTGCCCTAGTGTGTGTGGATACTTTTAAGAGTGTTATGTATAAGTTGTTATATTGGCCCGGCAACAGTAGGAGGGAACTGCAAGGAACAGCAGAGGAGTAGTCTAAGAAGGCTTTCTGAATAAGTAAGCTTTATTGTTCTACAAGTTTAACTCCTTGGTCTTTTGAAAATAACACATGGTGCCTGCCCCTGCATGTGGGGTTACCATGGGGAAAAATGCTCTAGGTGGTAGGAAGGCTGAGCTAGTCCCAGCAACCTTACTTGGAGTCCTGGAGGATTCCCAGGGATCCAACAGCAGCGATCCAGACATACACAGCCTGACCAGCAGCCTGAGAATTCTTCTGCCCAGCCAGGCTCTGATTTCAAGCAGTGCATGCTATTGCCATGTGCACTGCCCCACATTTTCCAGCACAGTTTTTTGATACTGAGATTTTCTTGTATCTAAATTTGGCTCCAAGCTGCAAATATGCAGCACATAGAACAAAATTGCATGCATGGGGTGCATTTTGCGGCACCTAAAATGCCTTTTAGGCACCCCAAAATGCATGTGCGCACTCATGTGCACGTGACAAAACTGTATTACCTTGGATCAAACAAAACCATGTCTCATCATCAATTCAGCTGGAATGCTTAGTGGCTTGCCATCCTGCTTGATTTAGTTCATGCAAATGAGTCTCACTTACTGAACTACTGGATGGCGAAAGTTCTTAGTACTCTCCTGTTCATTGTATATACTTGCGAGACGAATGTAAAACAGCAAGTAGATTAGAAGAGGCCCAGTGTATTCTGTCAGAAAAACCTAGGAAAAAAATAGGTATCAGGATGGAGAATTGCAGCAATAAAAGAATGAGAAAAAAATGACTCTCAGTTCTTAGACAGACCTAGGTATTAGATTTATCTTGGAAGATGGACCAACACAATACCAATATATCATTCAAATCTCACATCAACTTCCTTTGAAGTCAAGAATGGTGCTTAGATGTTTATGCTGTTCCTTGCACAAAGGTACACTTCATTCAGGCTACAAACTGACATAATTTTTGGTTCCAGGATCAACTGTGCTAGGATGTGTTCCAGCACAGATGACTCAGTTCACTGGCAGGTCCAAATGCCACCTAGGGCTGCTATCCTGCGGGATCAGGCTCCTGCCACTACTGGAACTTTGGGAGCCTGATCCTAGGAGACAACAGCTCCATATGCCTGGCCCTGACCCAGGGAACTCCATGAGGTGCCCTTGCTCTGCAGTATGAAACCTGAGCCCTAAAATTGCCTGCTTGAGGTGGCTAGAGAGCATAGCCCCAGGCTGTGTGGACCACACCATAAGCAAAAAGATATCCTCGGGCATCAGAATATGTGACCATGTCATGTCAACATTTTTGAGTACTTGGAGCTTGACAAAGCCAAGGATATCTGCTAGTTTGCTGCCATAAATATTGCAACCAAAGAGAGAGAAAGGGAGAAAGAGCTACCATTGTCTACATCAGGGGTTCTTAGCCTCTTTAGACTCAAGAAACCCCTCCATAACTTTTCTGAATTTACCAGCACCTCATTTCAAAAACAGATTCATTTATTACACTGATTAGCTCTTCAAATGCTGTGGCATCCATAGAAGGATTTTATGGCACCCTGGTTGAGAATCACTCAATAATATAGGTGGCCAGACTTTCAAAAGAGCTATCGACAGGGGCTGATCCCTGGGAAAGCTGGTCCTATGCGTCTTACAAAAGCCAGGAAAAGGTATGGAGAAACAACAGCCCCTACGGTTTTTCTTTAACTTTAATTTGTATAAAATAAAGTTGCAAGAATGTATCTCTGCAATACGCAACAAATGAAGTGTTTGAGAGAAGGACTCAAGTGTAAGTCCTTGTTACCTGGAGAGGCTAGTTGAGAAGACAGAGGTGGAGATTAGCTTTGGGGTCTGAGTGGAGTATATTTAAGTAGAAGAGGTAGCTAAACAGCTAATGGGTATCCAGTTTAGGAAAGGTGGGTAAGAAGTGGCAGTTTAGAGTACTAAGGGGGAACGAGCATATGGCTGGTGACAGTTAGCTGCCAGGTTGGCACCCTGGGCTCAAGTGTTTAATGGTTCTTTGGCTTGTACAGCACCAAGAAGGAAGGAAAGAGGCAACTACTTTTAGGGCAGGGGCTCCTGGGCCAGGGAATACTTAGAAGGTCACTGGGGGTTAGTAGGAGCCAGTCATTAAATCCAAGGCTGGTAGGCAGGGAACAGTGGGATGGTGCTGGGTGCAGTAAGGAGCTGCTCACGGGGCAAGTTGAGGAGTTTGGAGGAGGGCCATTAGGCCCATAAAGGAAAGAGCTGTCCCTGCAGGAGGTGGAAGGCTGTGGCTGTGACTACTACTACAGGTATAGAGGCTGGTGCCAGGTGAGGGTGCCAGGGGCAGGACCCCACCAGGCCTAACTCTTTCCACTGTCTGATTCCTCCTAACCCCTGGTACCTGAGGGGGTGAGTATGGCCCTAACTGCCACAACTACTCTTCCAGGGACTTGTACGCCAATGATCAGATCATGGAGCCTCTCCTGCCAGCTCTGGAAACATGGGAGGAGTGAGGGGAGAATCTGGTTGGAAAAGCGTTGCCCTGTAGTCCCATGTTTGCTCACCTGCCTGCCCACCCCAGAGCATGGCACTTGTTGCACAGAGTGGCCAACATGGAACTGCTAGGGTACCTTAGTATGAACTGGTGTACCTCCTATGCTAGGGCAATGCCAGGCAACACCCCCAACCCCATGCTCCAACTTAGGCTGAATTCCTGTGTATTGGGACTTCTGCTTCATCTCTCTGCCTTCCCTGATCCCCCATGGAACAGACATGGGGGCATTCCTGTCCTGCAAAAGCCACACTCTTTCATTTCTAGAGACTAACTCCAATCCTACCCATAGGCCTGCAGGAATGTTGCTGCCTGTGCTAGGCACCACTTGACCATGGCAGGCTTGGGGAGGCATGAGTGATTTTCTCCTTGCACTCCATGATGCTGTTAGAAGGATATCATGGCACTCCAGGATGCTGCAGTAGCCCGGTTGAGAATCACTCACCTTAATGTATACACCTCATTCAAGGGATTCCAACATTATAAAGGAGCAATCCAAAATCCTGTTTGTCATCTCTCTGAAATGTTAGCTATGGGATGAGATGACTATTTTGTATCCAAACTGGATATATGATTACAAGAAAGCACTAAATCTGAATACCAGTTCCGTTTCTCTACTTGTAGCACCAATAGGTGCACCTACACATGCTCTTTAATGCGCACTAGCCTATTTTAATATGCATTAAAGCATCACCAAAAAAACATGCTATTTCGCTAATGTGCATTAAAATAGGCTAATACACATTTTTCTAGTACCTCACAATGCACCTGTTAGATTTAATTTATATTAACTAAAGCACATTCATTGAATGTGTAGACATGTCCAATGTTTTGTCCAAATGAGTTGTGCATATCTTAAGTTAAATTCAATTGAGAGAGAGAGCGAGCATGTGCACATGAATGATTCTGAATTCTAGAGCTTTAGCCACTTATCTGGATAAGGAAAAACATGGATTTCTAGTCCTTGCTCCCATAACTGTTTATATAACTAACTTGAAAAAAGACATCAAATAAAATATAAAGAGCTGTTGGAAAGGAGGCTGGAAGCTAGGTCTCCCCCTGCAGGTAAGTACTCTAGCCACTAGGCAACAGAGTAATACTCAGTCTCTCTTGCTGAATGTTTCCTGACTAAAGAATTTTGCATTCCTTTCTGAAGATAATCACAGTGTCAACAGGAGTGGGGGAGTGTTCTCTCCCCTCAGAAAAACCACAGTATAGGGGTTAGGGAACTCTCCTAAGAAGTAGAAGACATGGGGCTATACCATCTCAGAGAGAGAAAGTAATTGAACTCTCCCACAGCCTCGGCAATTTTTCTAGTAATTGAACAAAGAAAGTGATTGTGGAGAGGGAGTGAATCACTGTTCTCTGTCTGCATGTTGAAGAAGGATGAACTCTGCTGTTTTTGAAAGAACAGCTGTAGTTCCAAGTTACAGAAGAAGGCTTTCAACAACTCTCTCTTCCAGTATTCCCATAATGACTGTGTCTAGGTTAATCTTCCCAGTTTACATTATGTTTATTGTGAATCATACTCTGGAGCCCCTAACTCTGACCATGCACTATACAGGTAGCCTAAACACCTTCCTAAGGACCCTGGGGCAATGTGCTGAAAAGATGACTCCACATGAATATTTTGATGACGTAACTATTAAAAAATGACCCAGGCCTAAATACATTCTTCAAATTGCCCTATATAGTTATTTCCCATACAAAGTCTGGGCCCCATCTTGCAGCCATTATTCAAGCAAAGTCTTCATTCAAATAATTAAAAATACAATGATCTTCCAAGCCCCTAAGGTAAATGCAGACAATAAGTCAATAGTAGTATTCAGTGTAGCCACTAATTACTTAGAACTTGATACCTTTTCAAGTGAAAAAAGGCACTGCAAATTTAAGGAGGGATACTAAAAAAAGTAAATTGTTTCAGATGTTAAAGAAAACCCCAGATCATCACAGCCATTATTCAACTTCACAGGGCAGTAAGTTAAAGTGGCACCTTTCCTTCTTATCAACATTTGGACTGTGACCTTAGCTTTGGATGGAACAGTAGGACTCCCAGGATTTTATCTCCATTGTGAGGAAGAGGGCAACAGATGGCCAGTTCTTTGCCTTCATTCCCTCACTACCCAACTCAAGAGTTGTTGTCTGGGCACATGACAGAACAGTAAGCTACTTGACAAACCAGGGGGCATGTCTATCTGAGACATTTACCGTGCAGGTGACTATTTAACTGCATAGTAAACATCTCAATGTCTACACACTACAGTAAATACAAGTACTACCCTACTCTGGAGTTCTTCCATGTGTAGTAATGTATGTGTAGATGCTGAGCTGGCTGGCTGAAGCATGAGGATGCTTCAGTGCAGGGGCTGCCTGCTGGCTAATCCCACACTGAAGCACCCTTGTGGCTCAGCCAGCCCCTCTGCAGCACGCTGAGTCAGGTCAGAGTAGCCCCAAGCTGGCAGGCTGATCCCTAGGATCCCTGCCAGCCAGGGCTGCTGCAATTTGGTTCAATGTGCAGCAGTCTGGGCACACATGTAAACCGTGCACCTGGAAGCTTCCTGGAAGCTATAAACTGCAGAGCAATAAACTCCACAGTTTATTGTTGTACATTAATGGCATGTGTAGATGTGCCTAGGGTTAAATACATCAGTTTTTATATCCATGATTGATTGTCTGTCCTCAGTGGAATAAACTCCAGGATTACAACTATGAACTACTACAGGGGTTTTCAACCTTTTTTAATAAGTGTACTCCAGACAGCTGGATGTGGAGGGGGGGCAGTGTGGGGTGGTAGGTAGCAGTGGCAACTGCCACATGTAAGCTTCCCCCCCAGTGTCTCTCTGGCTGGGTGGCACCTGTGTGGCCCCCAGAAGGGTGCCACTACCCTTGCCCTCCCCACCCCCAGCCCTGCTCCTGGGAGGCAGCGGCATGGGGTGGCAGCACTCTTCCCCTGCCTGGCCACATGTACCCCCTAGGGCCTTCTCAAGTACCCCCAGGGGTATATGTACCCCTGGTTGACAACCCCTGAATTACTATATTTCAGGGATTGCAACTAGCAAATCATATCTCAGGTGCCTAAAATTCAAGAAGTTTAGGGGATAATTTCGAAACTAGTAGACCTTTTAGCTTTAATGCAGCTCCTTGCACTGCTTTAGATTTCTCAGTGATAAATTCTTGTGGTTTAAGGTAGTGATAT